GTGTGGCTCAAAATCCCTCTGGTGTGGATACTCTAAATAACGCGGGGGGGTTCACTGCTTCTGGAATTTCCTCCGAAAACGGTAGTTCCATAGTCTCCGCTGCCTCTGGAGTTTCCGCAGATAAAGGTAGTTCTGAAGTGTCAGTGAGCACTCCTGGAGTTTCCACTGCTTCCGGAATTTCCTCTGATAAAGATAGTTCTGGAATGTCTGCGAGTACTCCAGAAGTCTCCGCTGTCTCTGGGGTTTCCTCTGATAAAGGTAGTTCTGAAATTTCTGTGAGTACTGGAGTTTCCACTGCTTCCGGAATTGCTTCTGAAAAGGGTAGTTCTGAAGTTTCTGTGAGTACTGTTGCTGAAAGGCCTAAGGACGGTGTCAGCAATACTGAAGCCTCCAGTGCGATTGGTGAGGGTTCCGCTGATGCTGACAGTAAACAAGATAAAAATAGTCCTAGTGATACTGAAGTTTGCTCAGGTACCGACAGCGTTAATGTTAGCTTAGATACCGGCAGTGCTATGGATGCTTGCTCAAATAACGGTGATAAAAAAGAAATATCCTTAGACGAAATACAGCACATTAAGACTTTCCTTAGTGAATTTCAAAAGGATGTAAATAACGACGATTTGAGATTTGGTGGAGAAAATGGTGAAGAAAATGAGGACGACGATTCGTATGGGGGTGTTCGTAAATCACTGGATTCGTATGCAACAAATGTTTCATAAACAAGTGTAAAGCAGAACGTGTCAGTTATTTCAATGCTTTTGTAGCGTGCGTGAATGCGGCCGCCGTCAAGCTTTTGGTTGATGCCGGGCTAGAGTCTGACAGAGAAGTCATACTTTTCCATAAAGTGAACGTACGCTTCCCTTGGCCACGCCAGGAATGGTGGACGGACAGAGACGACGACGGCAACGATGCCGATGGCGACGAGGAGGACGACGAGGACGATTACACGTCGTCTGGCCAAGAAAGGTCAGTTGTCAAGGTGAGCACAGTGCCCAGCTCATGGCAGACCTTCTTCTGGAAAACAGCTCAAACAGTAAACAGCAAACAGTGGGAAGCAGCAGAAGCCGAGAAGCCTGAAATGCCAAGGAAGATCCGACCCCCAAACGAGGAGGAGGTGGGCGAACAAGACGAGGGCCCTGCGTCGCTGATATTCACTTATCCGTCCCGAACATAACCGAGACCTTCGAGTTCAGTGCGCAGAGGCAGCTCTTCAAAATCACAACCATTAGGAAGCTGACGTTCGTTCACCAATTCCTCATGACGTTCAACATCAACCTTTATATTGACACCGAGAGTGGAAATCTCGGTTTCTACCTCAATCATTCTACGGTGTTTAATTCTAGAGCTATAAAGATCAGATTTGCCGAACTCATTTTGGCAGTTCTAAAAAGGTCCTTGCAGTTATGATCGAAAACTCCCATAGGCTTCCGTAAAAAGATACGTATGTTAATATAAGCAGTGTTAGATATTGCGTATATAAATACATCCAAACCAAAGATATATATATATATATACATAAACTTGTAATTACTCAAAGTGCCGTGGAACCTGCAAGCATTTATTGTGCCTCAGAGGTCTTGGCTGTACACTCGTTCCTTCTTTGCACGTACATGTATCTCTCGCATAATAACCGTATGTATGTGATATTTATGGTGCTAAAACTATTGTTAATTGAGTGGTGATTTTATGCAGCACTTCACACGGTCTCTCTCTCTCTCTCTCCTCTCTCTCATCTCCTCTCTCTCTCTCTCTCTCTCTCTCTCTCTCTCTCTCTTCCTCTCTCTCTCTCTCTCTCTCTCTCTCTCTCTCTCTCTCTTCTCTCGTTTGCTTCCTATCTCTTGCTTTATTCTCTTTTATTATCTCTCCCTTTCTTTCTCCCTCTCCTCCCCTAGATATTTTCTGAAAGAAATGCATTTGATTCCATCATCTGCTTTACATATGAATCTTATTGTTACTTAATGGCAACTCGGTGAAACCTTGATCTGAAATAATAATCATTGAAATTTATTTTTAATACTGTTTATTTAGGAATTCTTTTGAGTATGGAGACGTCACCAAAACTGCTGTTTGTTTTTGTAAAGTTTTTGTAATGTGACAGTTTACAATTAAACAAGAAGAAAAATAAAGGATTTTTTATGCTAGAAGCCTTTACATTTATAGCTTTGGAAGGTGGTTTGCTTTTACCAGAGGAGATGAATTATGAAGAGGTAAATAAGACCCACAAATGAGGGAAGTGTGAGTGAGAACCTGTAGTGAGATATTAATGTGAAAAGGTTTTTGTGTATATATCTATATATCAGTGGGTTTACACGCATATACACGCGCGCGCGTGTGTGTGTGCTGTGATATATTATATATAATATATAATATATATATAGCTATATATATATATATATACATATACACATACACACACGCACACATTGTATATATACATACACACACACACACACACACACACACACACACACACACACACACATATATATATATATATATA